GCACGGTTACTGTATGTCTTTGTGCTGTATACATGTATACATGACCTGTGCCCTGTGGCATTGTTAAGATAATATCCGATCCGACATCACACTCTCTGTTGGGTTCAACAGGCAACAAGGTGACAAGAGAAAACACACGCAAACACACACATGAAAAGAACCACAAGCAACGTTATATAACAGTCCTACTCGAGTAGTCTGCAGGCTTCAGACGCATCCTTGGTAACAATCACTATAGCACCACCAAAGAAAGGACAGGATTGCGTAACGACAAACTGAATCCCTTCCAGAAGTAGATAAATGCAACAGATATGAACCCACATACTGTACAGTAACAGCTCAGGTGATACTGTGAAGGATCTGATGCTTGGATCTGTACGTTTCACAAGCCAAAGTTATGATTAATAAAACGTAGATGCAGCCCTGCTGCTTCACATAGTTGTTTTGTTTTTTCAACAAAACCATATGCATGCCTCCCACGCCAACAGCAAAAGAGATGAATAGTTTCACTTCAAAGGCGCAATGCGTCCTTAATTTTATAACCTGTATCTGATGGTAAGCTGTGATGTGATGCTGGTGTAGACAATATGCCAGCCAGTCTTTATGTAAGTGTAATATGAGTTATTCTGTGGTATTTCTGAGTACACTGAGTGGGTGATGAGGTTACAGTGACGGGCTTTTCTCTGTGGAATGAGAAACTGGGCACAAACACAAGCCGCCCGCCTCCTTCTCTCGTTGTTTTTATTTTATTCTGTCCTTCATAACACACTCTCTCAACTTACATTCATTAACTCACCGTTCAATTCCAAAGGCCAGTGTCCTTCAGAGAAATCTAAATGCTACTTTTTCTTTCATTTTTGCCCACACAATAGGCTCAGAGCTCTCACAGAAAACTGCAGACATTTCAAAGACAGAAACATCTAGTATGAAGATCTGCTCACATCAAAACAGTGACGATTTGAGAAAATGTACATTTCATATAAAACATAGTTAGTTTCTTCAAGGGCACTACAAAGATTAATAACAGAAAACCACTTTTAAACATCAATATTAGATGTGATGATTTCCTGCTAGTGTGGATATATCCATCCAATACATACATATACTTATATATATATATATATATATATATGTATATAAAATACAGGCTTTTCTAGTTATTATTTCAGGCATCATACTAAGCATAACTATTATTTTGTTTTGATACAAACAGTCCATTAAATATTAGTTAAATTAATTACTGTGTTGTCTATCCTATGGGACTTGATATTATTCTCTATTCTTATTCTTGTTGTGTTTCTTTCTGGTATGAGGCAACTACTTTGACAGTTTTGTAAATCTTGTTAGTATACTCATTTAATCTCATTTTACATTACATGTGTTGTTTTTTTTGTTTTTTTTTATCCAAATAGTGTTTCGCATTTTCATAAATGCCTCCAGTAAAAACTTTAAAGGCCAGTTCCTTTAAAGTCGTCAACCTTTACTGGAAGTACGTTCAGCTTGATGCATACAGTAACCTTTGTATAGTGCGAGCAGAAGAAAGAGTTCATTAATGCTGTTACGACTGTGAGACTGCTGAATGTCAAGTTGTATTGATTCAAAATTATGCTGAGTCAGATGCAACGAATGTGTTACTGAAGTCTGTTTCGTCTGAACAGAATTACAGATTTTGCTTCTGAACAATTTCTTACTGAAGGAGAAGGAGGAAATCTTTTGATGCTGGTTTTCGGGTCAGAAATCCACTCTAACCGAACTGCAGATATGTCATCCTCTGCTCACTCTGCACTACAAATAGAGTAAGGATGCTACGATTTTTCAATGTAAGACAAATTAAGACAAGGTGGAGGCGTCCGACCTCAGGTCATGTGTTCTAACTTGTTGCCAGATAAAATTCTTGGCGGCTGCTTACCTTCAGTCCAGTGCAGGCCCAGGACAGACTCAGCACAACTTCCTAAATGAACTTAACTCCACCCTTAGCAGTTACAGATAGAGCCCAGAGGTGGGGGTGGAGGCATCCTCAGACAGACAGCAGCCAGTCATTGCTGGTGACACCGGTCCACTCGGAGGAGACTGACATACAGGCCCCTGGCTGACACCCAGAGCCGCTTCAACATCATGGAGTTTGAGGAGAGGAAATCTGTGAGAGTCAGAACAAATGGAGAGTGTCTGGCTATAATCTGGAGGGTCAGATGATCCTACCTGTGATCTGCTCCATGACCACAGACATGAGAATATGCTGCAGAGAGGAGAGAGGGCCACTGGAGCAAGAAAAGAGCAGGAGAAGGACATGGAGGAGAATTTACTAAAGGAGCCAAAATATGAGCATTTTAGTTGTTATTAAACATGGAATAATTGTTTTTGGCCACTTGGGGGCAACGGAAATAAAGAATGAATCAATTCATCAGTCAGCCAATGATCACGACTGAAAAGTCAGTAGCCTTGGCTGTAACCCGTAACAACCAGCAAACACTGCGTTTCTTGAGAAGTTGGGAAAACAGGAAACAAAGAACCATTTTCCATGTTTTTTCCATCAAACAAAAGCAGAAATACTTGTGAATCAGTGCTATTTTCAAAAGGCATGGGTGCACTCTAATGCAGTTACATAATAGTTAACACACCACTCTTGTGCATAAACACAAAAAGCCACAGATGAGGAGTTTGGCCACTGCTTCCTCTGCGGCAAATGAAAGAACTCCACATCAGATTCGCAGACAATAGCTTCACTTCTGTTTTACTTTCCTTTGCATCTGCACTGAGCGGATGAGGTGTGGATATAAACCAAAGTAGTTTCAAATAAATAAAATCTGTAAAATTTACGCTTGGACAAACTACCTAATTCAAGAGCTGTGAGTTAAAATCAACAGGACTACTCAACTTAATACAGAAAGACTGAAAGTAAAAAGGCTAAATGTTCAGACAGACACATGTAACTTCACCTCCAAAATGTCAAAACTTTATGAGCTACCAGAACCAGCAACAACAACCGCACAATACTCAATCAATTCCTTTCTCAACCTAGCAGGCAACTCTTTAATCTCTTACATGTAAACTGCCAAAATTTGAGTTTCCCATTCACATTTCTCTATTTATGTGCGGCCACACACAACCACATACACATGCAAACACTCACTTCCTCTTCAGATGAAGTAGGACATGGTGTACCTAAAATCACACGAGACAAACACTCATACGGGTCCTAAATTTAACTGCACTGTTTTCAAAAAAAAAAAAAAATTCAGGGGCAGGAATGGACAAGATTAGATTCTGTTTGTTTCAACAGACTTGTATTTTTATTTTCAGAAATTTTCAGAAACGTTTTTTTCTTTCCTCCTGACCATTTTCAAAACCAAAATGTAGAAAAGTATTGTGGTAACGCTTCACTTAGTAGGGTGCCTAAACCCTTGCACATGCCACAATTACTGTTTGTTTGTTTTTGGTTTTTTTTACTTTTTTACTATTTTTGAAATAAAAGGTAACAGTGCACTAACACTCTATGGGACTTTGTCATTTATAAATAAGGAGAACTGTTATAAATTAACATACAAACTCTTAACCAATGACATTATCCTCAAAATATGTGATGACATCCCCTCTAACCAATGAAATCAAAGGTTATTTAATATGTTTATAACATTTGTTGCTAAAAGGAAGTGAGGGAGACAAGAGCACATGCTGAGTCACATGCATGAGTAGCACAATGTTAAGTAAAACATACAAAAATAATTTACAAAAAATATTCCTAGATTGCCCAAACTGTTTTCTAACACTTTCTAAAAACTTAAAAAAAAAAAAACCCTCCAATGTCAGGTATAACTGACATGGTCCTACTAAGGGATATAAATTTCCATATTGACTCCATCGATCTTTCTATTGTTTTGATGTAAGCAAGACCGGTCAGTTTAGGTTAATGTTTGTTAGTTTTATGGCAAGGTGAAAGGCTGTGCCTGTTCCTGAGGACAGCGAGAGCAGCAGCGATGAGAACAAGGTTGTGGTAAGAGTGGGAGACGGGAATGATGAGCATCAGGAAGACAGAGCCAGGTGAGAGTGATGGCAGTGAGGAAGGGCATGAGGGGAATGAGGGGAGTGAAGTGCAGGAAATGTGATGCACACACGTGTTTCACACCAAAAACCCTGCTGGTTTAGTTCCATGAGTGACAGACTGATGCATCTCAGCAGCGGACATTTCTAACATGACCGCTGAGAAGACTCGGTCTGTGTTTCATCACATGAATGATCGTTGTTGAGTTGTTGGTGATAACGGCAGATGTTACTACACCTTTTCAGTCAATATTGTATACCATCATTTGTGCATTAATGTTTGCAGTAGAGGTTCATTAGTACTGTTTCTTTCTTTTGCATGTTTGTTTTTAAATCATATTTTAATAGACCGAAATAAAAATCAAATCAAATTATTATTTTTTTTTACAGTGAGAAATCATTAAAAAATATATATCCCAATGGGACGTAGTCATTTATAAATGACGGCACATCAAGGTCATTTTGGGAGCGTGGGCACAGGAAACTTATTTCAGGCCTAAATACAATTTGAATTAAATGTCTTTTGATTTTTTTTTCAATTCATATCCTTAATAAGTCCCAGAGGGGGTTGAAGAATTGTTTGTTTTTTATAAAAAGGTGTTTACTTCACTTCAAAAATAAACAAAATATGTAATTTGCACAGTGGTCCCCAGACTGAATAGATAGTGGTGGAGGAAGTACTAAAATAAAAGGAAGATAAAAGTAGCAAAAATCACAGTGTAGAAATGTGACTCCTGCAGTAAAAATCATACCTGTGAAAGTACAAAAGTAAAAGCATCAAAATAAACCTTCAGTTAAAAAACAAGTTAAAATTTCAGCCTCTTAAAGTGACTTTCTACTAAATTGTGGATTCCTTTACTTAATATAAATGCAGCAGAGGGTAACAACCACTCACATTCATTTTCTCAAACTGAAATAAGAAAGGCGTTATGTGATTGAACAAAAGAATTTATTGACACCCATTGATTCGTGTGCGTTTGTGCATGCACCAAACTTTGAGGAAGATATGTTGAAGGTGAAAACTCCCTGAAATAATTTATGTACAGTTCAATAACCTTTAACAAGTAAGACACTCTGCAGTTCTCTCATCCATCTGCAATCTCATAATCAGCTCTCCTAACGTCAAGGCACACGTACATATTAATTAACCAGGCTCACATTCAGCTTATATCTCATACAAACACCTTCCTTGGACTCAAACTGGTGACAAAATGAAAACCATCTGTGACAAACTTGAATCTTATATCTCCTTTGTTATGTTGTGCGTAATTAACAAAAACAGATGCTTGAAAATATCTTCCTGTTATTGTTGTGGTATTGGCACATTTGGTTTCAGGATGATCCCGAGAGGTTGCAGACATGAAGTGTTACTTAAAGCTAAACTGTGTGTTTTTGTGACACCTGTACCAGGCAGATTACTGGCCTGCATCAGAAAAGTCAGTCTGAGGATATATGGCACTTCTTCTAGATACATGTGAACTCCGTCCTATGTAACTCATCTGTTTGTTTTCTTCCCTTCAGCAGTAAATCTGCCAGATGTACGGACATCCTCATCAAGTGGTCCACATTAACCTCCAGTGCTCACTTTATTCTGTAGACGAAGAGAAATTCAGTTCAAATCAAGGATGAATAGTAAAGTAAATAGAAAGTGAATAAAAAAAGGTAAATGTGACAGTGGGAGAGGCAGGAAAAACGTTTTATAGGTTGAGTCGTACTTTCTTGGCGTTGTCCACACACTGCATGTAGGCCGAGGCAATACTGGAGCAGGACAGAGTCTTTCCTGTGTTCTCCTTGTAGCATTTTAAAATCTGACTCTGCAGGTCTCCACACACTGGCCGGATACTGACACGCCTGAGAGAGCACAAAAACACAGCCATGCAAATATCAAAACGTCACGTTCACACCAACTAAACTGGTGAAACATTCAAACTACCTGATCTCATGTATAATGTGCGCGCGCTTGTCAGTGAACTCTGTGACCTCACTAAGCACAACACAAAAGTTTCAAAAATGCTTGTGAAGCATTGATCCCACAGTAAATCTGCAGATACAGTACAGGTGTTTACGTAAATGACCTACGCAAAACGGTTGTGTGTCTCCTCTTTGCCCTTCTGGAAGCTCTCAGCAGTCCCTTTGTAAAACTCGGTACACTGTCAAAGAGGTAAACACACCACACATTAGCATCCAGATACAATATCACTGCTGAAACAGACTTGGGAAATCTTTCATGATAATTCAAGACATTACTGTCTTGTACACGGTACACATAAGCACTACTACGTTGTTATGAGGCGAGTAACAGACATTTACAGCTCGTTTTCCTTTGTTTCGGTTAAATGTCAGAGTAAACAGTTTTTGCTAACCTGCCTGAACAGCTTGATAATCCAATAACAGTGTATAACTGTGACTTTGTTTAGTCATGGTGCCCCTTAGTGGTAAAAATTGATTCATGCAGCTTATAATAAACAAGGAAAAGCATCAAAAGCTTCACGTACCTTTGTTTCAAGTTTTGCAACATGTTTCTTGTAGAGAACTTCTCGTTTCTTTAACTCTTTCTCCTTCTCCTCCAACTGATAAGCCTGTGTGAGTTCACAATAATCATAACATCATCAGAAGAACAATGTATCCAAGCAAATACTACATCTTACCATTTCATAATACAGAAGCGTCTGCAGAGGGAAATTAAAGTTGGGTATCCCCGACTGAATTCAAGGCTATTGTAAACTCTATGCCACATGATTCCTTTACTTAGTGTCTCTGTTTTCGTTTTCTTAATACTAACAATTGCATCACCTGGTTTTGACCGATGTTTTATTTGTGATGTTGTGTTGTCCTGTCTGAAAAAGGCCTCCCTTTAAAAAGAGGTTTCAAACCTCAATGGGTTAAATAAAGGTTACATAAAAATAAAAACAAAATAATATTCTGTGGGCTGTTATGCCCAAGTTCCACAATGACTTTCTGTCTTATCTGAAGACACAGCGAGCAGACAAACAGAGGTGCAGCAGCTGGTTAGAGCAGAATGAAAATGAAGGATTAAGTCATGCAAGTAGGAGTTCTCTCCCGTCTTACCTTCAGCTCCATCCACTGAAACAAGACAGCAGGGCAACAAAGAGAAAGAAACAGTAAGACGAGGAAAGGCTGTCATGTTTACAAGAGATCCTGACACATACAGTACTGTGCACGGCTTTTAGGAAGTCTAGAAGATCAATCAGGGAGGCGTCTGATTGGTCCCAAATTCATTCTGCAGCATGACATCAACAATTCCAAACATAAAGCTAGAACTGTCTTCAGGGACGAGAAGTACAAGGGGTCCTGCAGCAGATGGTCTGGCCTCCACAGAGCCCTGATCTCAACATCACCGAGTCAGTCCGGGATCGCATGAAGAGACAGAAGGACCGACACAAGTCCTCCAAGATACTTGGAACAACAACCTGTCAAATAGCTTGAAGAACTGTGCACACGTGTACTGAGGAGAACTGGTTTGATTTAGTTATCTGACAAATAAAAACATGGTATTACTTTTGAAATCATCCTCACATTACTTTTGGTGACTAAACCTTTTGCACAGTACTGTCCACAAAGGTCTCACATGTCTGTTTCTGCTTACATAAAGCTGCACCATGAGCTTCTCATCCTCTGTCTTCATACGCTCCTTCATGATGGCGTCTGTCAGCTTCTCCATGTGCGCCGCTTTCTCCGCCTCCAGCGTCTTCTTCACCTGCTCGTCCACCTGAGCCTGGGCTGCCGCCTTGGCCTCTGCCTGAGCCTGAGCCCTCATCTCCTCCAGCCTTCACACACGTGCACACGCATCACGTTTTAAAACATTTTCTACAGGTGAATCTATTACAGTTCAAATGATCACCTGAGACAACTAAACCACAATACATCATCTTCTTTATATAGGCCTATATGCGTCAAAGTAAAGGTTAATAAAACATCAAATTCGCTGGTTCCAGATTTTCAAATGTCAAGATTTTGTCTTGTACAATTGTGAAATGAAGATTTTTAGGTTTGAGACTGTTGGTTGGACAAAATGGGACATTTGAAAACATTACTTTGGGCTATGGGAAATTAAAATGAGCATTTTTTACTCTTTTGTTACAATTCAACTACAATGATTAATCGATTAACTGAGAAAATTTTTCAGCAGAGTAACTGATGATGAGAAATGACCATTAGTTGCAGCCCTACAATTCATTATTGTCGTTTCTCATTTTCCACTCATACTTCATATTTCTATGTTGTTAATCTGTGATTGCTTGTAATGTAATTTGCAACTCATCATCATTCATATTTTGTTTTTTTTTTCTTCCATCTGCTAATTCAGATTATGTAATGCGATCAAAAGCTCCAGAACAGCTACTAAATGGACTTTGTGTTGAGATATCTGTTTATTCATCTGCTGATTCCAAGGTCAGAAATGAACTTTGAACCTTAGTTTTTTAAGGAAATAATGGCAAGAAATCCTCCAAGAGCACAGAACATAATGGAAATTTGAATGTCCGTGTTTCCATGACAACTGTGCAAACTCCACCTGCTGCTGAACATCATGTAATAATATGATTGAAAGCTCCAGAAAAGCTACTAAATGGGCTTTGTGGTGGAATTATTTTCCCAAATATATTTCTTTCTATTTTACTTTTAATTTGTTCTATTTTACTATTCATTTATTTTATATGCCGTTTACATGTTTGCCAATAAAAGGCTCGGGTTGAATTAAGTTATTTTACCTAATTGGACACACAAGACACAAGCCTCAAACACACAAGCCTTACTGTCGCTGCAGCTCCTGCCTCCTCAGGTTGATCTCCTCCTCCAGACTTCTCTGCATCTCCCCTTTGATCTTCTGCCTCAGCTCTTCCTCCACCACTTCAGGAGAGATGGGCAAGGCTGCTTGTGAACACAAGGAATTTGTGGGGGAAAAAAACATGAGGTTGTTGATTTATTTCAAACTGTTCTACAAGCCATAAACGATGAGAACAGTTTCAAACTATGAAATGAAGCAGCAAACTTGATTTTTGCTCTTCAGATCAAATCCTGACACAGTGGTTGAAATGTCACATCAGAGTATTGAAACAAGCCTTAAATCTCTGGTATCAGGTGTGACGTTGCCACCAGAAACATGTATATCTTGGTTATTAGGAAAAAAACAAAAAGAGTCTTCTTGTTCCTGCAATGGCAGGAAGGAGACCAGAGAAGTACCAACACACAGTTCACTTCACCAACACATGATTCATACTTTCCCTCAGACTGCATGGCAGCACATTCAGAGCTAAGTGTATCCCACAATCCCCTATGGTCTAGTGCACCACACCAGTCCAGCTGTTGTTGGTTGCTGGTTTTAGGACAGACATTAATCAACAGACATGAGGAAGTTTTAGACGTTTGTTGGAATCAGTGTGAATATTAACATTCATGTCCAAACGTTAACAAGTTCCGTCAGAATCTCCAGTTTGTTATGAAGGAATATTAACATTTCTCAGTGAGACTGCGGAGGATTAATATCACGTCTGACACTGTCAACACAAATATTTGATCCTTTTATTAAAAGACTTTGAGGAAAATGTTCCATCCTTAAAATTTCTTCAGACAGAAACCATCAAAATAATATCCTGTTATGTCTCTGTCATGTACAGCAGACCAGCGTGCTTCTAGATGTAACTGCTTTATTAATTGTATTCCTCCTCTCAGGATCTCCTCTGATTGTAACTATATGGAAACCGTGTGCTCGATCCTACTTATTTGTTCCAGCGAGTGACATCTTGTCCTCATTAATCAAGTGTGTTCCAGCGAGCTGTGATGAACCTCCACACACCTCCACACGCACTTGAGCACCATGTCAACTACCACAAATATGCCACACAAGCAGGCACTTCTGTGGCTATTGAGACGTAACTTACCTGCTGCAGCAGGTGGGGGCACTGAGGCGACAGCGGGCACTTCATCCTCAACGACAGGGGGCAGAGGCAGGGTGGGGGTGAACTCTTCAGGAGCTGGAGATGGATCAGAAGGAGAAGGTGCAGATGGAGGCGGTGCTACAGGCTCTATGAAGGGTTCACTTACAGGTTCATCAGCGGGTACGACGGCCAGCTCCACACAGTGACAAGGTGGGTAGGGCTCTTCAAACATGAGCTCTGGGGCAGGAGAGGGAGCTGTCACTGGCTCTGGAGGAGGTGGAACCAGTTCACATGGAGGTGGCGAATCAACAGCTGGAGGCGCAACTGGAGGCACCTCTTCAACTGGAGCAGGTGGGGCTACAGGCTCCACTTGAGGAGGCGAAACTACAGCTTCAACTGGAGCTGAATCCTCAGGATAGGGTGGGATTATTGGTTCAACTGGTGGAGGTTCAACAGTAGGTGGAGGTTGAACCACCTCCACTGGTGGGACTGCAGGGATGATAGCTTCAACATAGGTAGGTGGAGGTGCCGGTTTCATGGGTTCAGATGGAGCTGCAGCAGCAGGTGGAGGGGCCGGTTTCATGGGTTCAGATGGAGCTGCAGCAGCAGGGTCAGGAGGTGGAGGTGCCGGTTTCACGGGTTCAGATGGAGCTGCAGCAGCAGGGTCAGGAGGTGGAGGTGCCGGTTTCACGGGTTCAGATGGAGCTGCAGCAGCAGGGTCAGGAGGTGGAGGTGCCGGTTTCATGGGTTCAGATGGGGCTGCAGCAGCAGGTGGAGGTGGAGGTGACGGTTTCATGGGTTCAGATGGAGCTGCAGCAGCAGGTGGAGGTGCCGGTTTCATGGGTTCAGATGGGGCTGCAGCAGCAGGTTCAGGAGGTGGAGGTGCCGGTTTCACAGGTTCAGATGGGGCTGCAGCAGCAGGTTCAGGAGGTGGAGGTGCTGGTTTCATGGGTTCACATGGGGCTGCAGCTGCTGGGCATGACTCTGCAGGTGGAGGAAGGACGAAGGGTTCAGGGGAAGGCAGGACTACTGGCTCCACTGCAGGAGGAGGTGGTGATGGAGGAGATGCTTCAGGCTCAACAGAGGTCGGAGGAAGGGAGTGAAACTTCACAGGAGGAGGGGGGACCAGTTTTACAGGAGGAGGCGCAGGTTCCACTGATGGAGGTGTAGATGGGGCCTCCTGAGGAGAAGGGGGTGGAGGCAGGATGAATGGATCAGGAGGAGGCGTCAGGAGAGGTAACAGGTGTTCGACAGAGGGGGCGGGGACTGGAGTGGGTGTTTGTGTTTCAGGGGAGTGTGAAGGGGGACCTCCATTCTGTGAGGGCTGAGGACGGACGACCTGCGAGGGCTGTCTCATCCGTTTGATGACTTTGTCTGACAGCTGGAGAAAACGAGAAGAAACAGAAACATTTATTGTTGTGAGCTCCACCTGCTGGACTCATCAGCACTTCTTCTAATTCTCATGTGGTTTTCTGACAGGTGTACCTGGTCTCTCAGTCACGTCTGATAGCAGACTGTCTGCCTGTCCACACCTCAAAATGCACTGTCCCATCAGTGGGACGCTTTAGCCTTGTTAGCTCCGCTTCAGGTGTCTTTTGTTATGTGCCAGATTAAACAATGTTTGAAAGCTCTAAGTCTCCTGATTCCATCTGTGCAAAACAATTCAGGATCCTCATATTTTAGCCTCTGTAACTTTGGTTCAGTATCTCTCATACTGATTCTTCTGACTCACTGTTGTGAAATTTAAAGAGCTACCTTTCAGGTGACCAGAGTAATGACTGTAATCAAAGGGGATGAAGAACAGTCACCTTTTTATTTAGGGAACATTACCTTCGGAGACTACGAAAAATGTTGTGTCTGGTAAACAAGTTAAGTTTGTCCTGTCATTGCTTTCTTCATTTCTTTTTGTAGGTATTTATTTGGAGTCACATTTCTTCAAAAATAAAGTTATACAATTGTTTATTTTCTCCTTTTTGACTTATTTGAATCATTGTATTGACATCTAAAGGGTGACTCTTTCTGGGCACTGCAGCACTTACACAACATCAGAGGTGGAAAGTTACATTTAGTCAAGTACTTTTGTCTGAATTTGAGGTACTTTTGCTTTATTTTATGCTACTTTATATTCCACTACAGTTGAGAGAAATATTGTACTTTTTACTCCTCTACATTTATCTTAAACAATCTTAAAAATTAAATAGCTTTTTATTCACGACATATTCTTTTTACTTATTTATTTTTTTCAAAAGAAGAATGGTTTATTTTCTCTCCAAAGCATTTGTTTGTTTTTTTAAAACAAACTATTTACCTAATCCTTTAACTTACCTTGCAGTGCACATTCAGCCTCAGTTTTTAATAAACTTATGGCAAACACTCTGTTTGATAACTGTGAATATTTAAGAATAATCTTAACTCAAACATGGAAGAGGATCTGTGGCAAACATGGTGGGGGGTGTCAGGGCGGCCAGGGTTGCAGTGCTACTATTTACTGTTGAAAGTGTAAAAATGAAGCAGATATTTTTGTGAATGTTCTTTTGTTTGTTTGACTGATTTTGTTTAATGGAATTAATGAAACAGGAGGTTCTTTCGAATTTCTAATCGCAATTAAGGACTAATAATTACCAAGGGAAGATTTATGAAATTTGGTCTCATTTTTCAGTGTATAGCAAGAAACATAACAGAATGAAAATATAAAATTTTTCTATATACTAAAAATGTTGCTACCCAATTTGTGTTGTGTTTATATAAAAGCCTTTTTGCCCCCCCCATTTTATATTGTTTTACGTTTATTTTTACTTGGATTATCTGAAGTTTGTGCCTTGATTTGTTCTGTTTGTTACTGTCGTGTGTTGTGTTTTTATCATTTACTGGAACACTAACCCTTTCCAAAATGGTCCAACCATGTTTCTATTGTTAAGCCACTGACCGTGCAGTTATGAGACATGCGTATACTCGTGCTTTATGAGTATCACACAAATGGAGAACTTAATTTTAAAAAAGACACTGATGCACTCTGCAGCGACAGCATGTCAATAGATGCAGCTGTGAAGAAACTGTGTGCATGACCCTTGAGTTACTCCCAATCCAAATCAACTTTTTTTCCCAGAGCTTTCACTCACCCGAATGCCCTTCACAAAAGTAACTCTTCCACCTTCACCATCATCTTCATAGGAGAGGTGACTCGGGCTGTTTCCCCCCATCCACACCCGCGGCTGCAGCTGCACGCTCACTATCACTATCACGACTGACCGCAAATATTTAATCCACAACGTAACGTGGTGGATCCTTGCTCTCAGGCAAACTCCAAACAGCTGCTACAACCTGCCCCTCCCACCGCGGAGCGTCAACAACAGCAGCTGCTATTGGGCGGAGCTGAACAACGCCTCTCCGGATTGGTCGACTGGCTCATAAAATCAATGAAACGTAAGAGAACATTGTGTCCCAACATAAAAATAATAAAAGCTATCTTTAAAAAAATCCATACATTTTCAAACACTTTATCTTATGACTTTGCAGCCATGGAAATGGAATAATCTCTATTTGCAGCTATGTTGTTATTTTAATTTCAGTGGGCGGGGAGTGTGAAGATTTATTAAACTGTGTATGTTTCCACATTACCAAATGCTGTTCCAGTGCACCTGAGACAATATGACAAGGACACATGAAAAATAAAATACATTAACTCCATAAATTATCCCTCTATATTTCTAACAGTCTGTATTTGATGTAATAATCCTGATTCCAGCTGCTTCTTCTACATTAATGTATTTAGTCCATTCACATTATAGTGTTCAGTGTAATCCTACTGATCAGCATGAATGTAAATATGGAGTGAACTAGCGGTCACTTTTATCAAATAAATAATCAAACATCACAGACAAAAAAAGTTGCAACATGATTTTACATGTAAACTGCTAATGAGGTACTAATATTAAAAGATAACTGGTGATATTCTGTCACATGAAAAGACGAAAACCACCTACGAATTGATCCAAACAATAACCTGATATTCTTCCTCTGAGCCATACACCTGCAGTTATTAAAACACATCAGTGAGCCACAGCTGCACTACCTCTCTTCACGAACACAGGCTTTGTAGTTTATTCTGAGTCAATCCCACATACACAATCCTGCTGCTAAATACTCACTTAAGCACCAACTGTGTATTAATCTGCAGCTGAAAACAGTCCTTAACAAATGAACTATTTACTGCTGTTTGAGTACGGTTTGCTTAAAACCGAAGTGCCCAGCTGTACAATATTTTGCCTATTATTTTCTCAATTCTATATGTTCAACTGATTTATAAAACATGAAGAAAAAAGTGAAGAATGCTCGTCACGATATCCTGGAGCACAAAGCAGTGTCATCAAATGTCTTGTTTTGTCCAACTGACAGTCAAAAACCTAAAAATAATTCATGTAGTATAATGTCAGACAAAAACAAAAACAAAACAAAAAAATTGCAAAACAAAAAATCGCAAAACAAAAAACCAACACACAAACAATCTGCATATTCTCCCATTTGAGAACTTAAAAATCAAATGTTTGGGATTTTTGCTTTAGAAAACTGATTTATATGATAAATCACATCTAAAAATAACTACTAATGATCATGATCACATCTCATAATCATTTAACTTGATATGGTGAAACTGTTGGCAAACTGTTGCTTATTTACCCATCCAGCAGACAGAGAACAAGATTATCACTGACTCGGAGTCGTGTTTCTGGCCACCTGATGAATATAACTACAACATTCACTCTTCTTTTATCTCCGTTTTTGGTCTCCACCAACTCCTCAGGGAATTATCTGGGTCCGATGCTAAAATGCTCCATGGAGCTGAGAAGAACTGCAGAGTTGGGTGATAATTATCCCGTAATTTCATCACTACAAGCAACCTCTCTCAGTAACAAGTTGTCATGTGAGCCATTACCAATATAAAAATGTTGATTACAGCTGCTTTAATGATGTACATCTTCAGCAGGAACCAAGGGGCTGTGAGCTGAGTAACGCAGACAGAAGGAGTCAGTAAGTATTGAGAGATGGACTAACACATTGTTGTTTTTGGTCAGCAGTCCCCAAACTTTTTTCAGTGGGGGCCACATCAACTTTCCTTTCTGAGATGGGGGGCCGAGGTTAGTCTATAACAGGAAATGATATGGGCCAGGGTGACAACCAGTATTATTGTGGCGATTACAATGATAATTTGTTGTAGCTGCCCTTGGTTTGGCTTTGGCACCACCTGTTGATTTGCAAAACAATGTAATAAAAAGTCTTCACATGTTTATTTGAAGTACCACAGATACTCCATTTATTTAATTGAAAATAACAACACAAACTGATGGTAATGGCGGGCGGGGGGGGGGGGGGGGGGGGGGGGCGCCGGCGGGCCACCGGGCGGCTAGCTCTGCTTTGCTGGGCGGCAATGCCTGTGCGGGGGGGGGGGGGGGCGCCGGCGGGCCGCCGGGTGGCTAGCTCTGCTTGCTGGCGCAATGGCTGTGCCGGGGGGGAGGGGGCGCGCGGCGGGCGGCTAGCTCTGCTTGCTGGCGGCAATGCCTGTGCCGGGTGAGGGGGGGGGCGCCGGCGGGCGGCTAGCGCTGTTTGCTGGGCGCAATGCCTGTGCCGGGGGGGGGGGCGCCGGCGGGCCGCCGGGTGGCTAGCTCTGCTTGCTGGGCGCAATGGCTGTGCCGGGGGGGAGGGGGCGCCGCCGGGCGGCTAGCTCTGTTTTGCTGGGGCAATGCCTGTGCGGGGGGGGAGGGGGCGCCGGCGGGCGGCTAGCTCTGCTTGCTGGGCGCAATGCCTGTGCCGGGTGAGGGGGGGGGCGCCGGCGGGCGCTAGCGCTGTTTGCTGGGCGCAATGCCTGTGCCGGGGGGGGGGGGGGCGCCGGCGGGCCGCCGGTGGCTAGCTCTGCTTTGCTGGGCGCAATGGCTTGTGCCGGGGGGGGAGGGGGCGCCGGCCGGGCGGCTAGCTCTGTTTGCTGGGCACAATGCCTGTGCCGGGGGGGAGGGGGCGCCGGCGGGCGGGCTAGCTCTGCTTGCTGGGCGCAATGCCTGTGCCGGGTGGGGGGGGGGGGGCGCCGGCGGGCGGCTAGCGCTGTTTGCTGGGCGCAAATGCCTGTTGCCGGGGGGGGGGGGCGCCGGCGGGCCGCCGGGTGGCTAGCTCTGCTTGCTGGGCGCAATGGCTGTGCCGGGGGGAGGGGGCGCCGCCGGGCGGCTAGCTCTGTTTTGCTGGGCGCAATGCCTGTGCCCGGGGGGGGGTG